GAGCGGTACGATCAAAAATGATTTACATTAACTCGCGGCATTTTATGCGGATCGAGTAAAAAGATCGCGGCTCCTAGAGCGGTACGATCAAAAATATTTTACATTAACTCGCGGCATTTTATGCGGATCGAATAAAAAGATCGCAACTCCTAGAGCCGTACGATCAAAAATATTTTACATTAACTCGCGGCATTTTATGCGGATCGAATAAAAAGATCGCAACTCCTAGAGCCGTACGATCAAAAATATTTTACATTAACTCGCGGCATTTTATGCGGATCGAATAAAAAGATCGCAACTCCTAGAGCCGTACGATCAAAAATATTTTACATTAACTCGCGGCATTTTATGCGGATCGAGTAAAAAGATCGCGGCTCCTAGAGCGGTACGATCAAAAATATTTTACATTAACTCGCGGCATTTTATGCGGATCGAGTAAAAAGATCGCGGCTCCTAGAGCGGTACGATCAAAAATATTTTACATTAACTCGCGGCATTTTATGCGGATCGAGTAAAAAGATCGCGGCTCCTAGAGCGGTACGATCAAAAATATTTTACATTAACTCGCGGCATTTTATGCGGATCGAGTAAAAAGATCGCGGCTCCTAGAGCGGTACGATCAAAAATATTTTACATTAACTCGCGGCATTTTATGCGGATCGAGTAAAAAGATCGCGGCTCCTAGAGCGGTACGATCAAAAATATTTTACATTAACTCGCGGCATTTTATGCGGATCGAGTAAAAAGATCGCGGCTCCTAGAGCGGTACGATCAAAAATATTTTACATTAACTCGCGGCATTTTATGCGGATCGAGTAAAAAGATCGCGGCTCCTAGAGCGGTACGATCAAAAATATTTTACATTAACTCGCGGCATTTTATGCGGATCGAGTAAAAAGATCGCGGCTCCTAGAGCGGTACGATCAAAAATATTTTACATTAACTCGCGGCATTTTATGCGGATCGAGTAAAAAGATCGCGGCTCCTAGAGCGGTACGATCAAAAATATTTTACATTAACTCGCGGCATTTTATGCGGATCGAGTAAAAAGATCGCGGCTCCTAGAGCGGTACGATCAAAAATATTTTACATTAACTCGCGGCATTTTATGCGGATCGAGTAAAAAGATCGCGGCTCCTAGAGCGGTACGATCAAAAATATTTTACATTAACTCGCGGCATTTTATGCGGATCGAGTAAAAAGATCGCGGCTCCTAGAGCGGTACGATCAAAAATATTTTACATTAACTCGCGGCATTTTATGCGGATCGAGTAAAAAGATCGCGGCTCCTAGAGCGGTACGATCAAAAATATTTTACATTAACTCGCGGCATTTTATGCGGATCGAGTAAAAAGATCGCGGCTCCTAGAGCGGTACGATCAAAAATATTTTACATTAACTCGCGGCATTTTATGCGGATCGAGTAAAAAGATCGCGGCTCCTAGAGCGGTACGATCAAAAATATTTTACATTAACTCGCGGCATTTTATGCGGATCGAGTAAAAAGATCGCGGCTCCTAGAGCGGTACGATCAAAAATATTTTACATTAACTCGCGGCATTTTATGCGGATCGAGTAAAAAGATCGCGGCTCCTAGAGCGGTACGATCAAAAATATTTTACATTAACTCGCGGCATTTTATGCGGATCGAGTAAAAAGATCGCGGCTCCTAGAGCGGTACGATCAAAAATATTTTACATTAACTCGCGGCATTTTATGCGGATCGAGTAAAAAGATCGCGGCTCCTAGAGCGGTACGATCAAAAATATTTTACATTAACTCGCGGCATTTTATGCGGATCGAGTAAAAAGATCGCGGCTCCTAGAGCGGTACGATCAAAAATATTTTACATTAACTCGCGGCATTTTATGCGGATCGAGTAAAAAGATCGCGGCTCCTAGAGCGGTACGATCAAAAATATTTTACATTAACTCGCGGCATTTTATGCGGATCGAGTAAAAAGATCGCGGCTCCTAGAGCGGTACGATCAAAAATATTTTACATTAACTCGCGGCATTTTATGCGGATCGAGTAAAAAGATCGCGGCTCCTAGAGCGGTACGATCAAAAATATTTTACATTAACTCGCGGCATTTTATGCGGATCGAGTAAAAAGATCGCGGCTCCTAGAGCGGTACGATCAAAAATATTTTACATTAACTCGCGGCATTTTATGCGGATCGAGTAAAAAGATCGCGGCTCCTAGAGCGGTACGATCAAAAATATTTTACATTAACTCGCGGCATTTTATGCGGATCGAGTAAAAAGATCGCGGCTCCTAGAGCGGTACGATCAAAAATATTTTACATTAACTCGCGGCATTTTATGCGGATCGAGTAAAAAGATCGCGGCTCCTAGAGCGGTACGATCAAAAATATTTTACATTAACTCGCGGCATTTTATGCGGATCGAGTAAAAAGATCGCGGCTCCTAGAGCGGTACGATCAAAAATATTTTACATTAACTCGCGGCATTTTATGCGGATCGAGTAAAAAGATCGCGGCTCCTAGAGCGGTACGATCAAAAATATTTTACATTAACTCGCGGCATTTTATGCGGATCGAGTAAAAAGATCGCGGCTCCTAGAGCGGTACGATCAAAAATATTTTACATTAACTCGCGGCTAAACCAAGATCCGTTGGAAAATCTGTTTTCCATGATACGTACGTATGGTGGAACATATAATCAAAATCCAACTGCAAAAGTTTTTCTATTATTATTACAAAAAAACATTGTATTAAATTTATCTAAGCCTGCTCAATCTGCAAATTGCTTAGATGATGAAGATGAAATCTTTCCAAAAAATAATACATCTGACATTGATAAAACATCTCATGTTGAGTTAACAGCGCCAATAAATTTAATTAACGATTATGAAAGTAATGATAATGAAAATATGTTGATTAACGTAGAAAAAACTGTTATTGATGCATCATATGCAAATGATGAAACTTTAGAAGCATCTGCTATTGAATATTTTGCAAGATTTGTGGCAAAAAAATGTGTTACAAAATCTGGTTGCGAACAATGTCGCATCTCATTTATTAACGAAAATCACGAACTGACACATGCAAGACAAATTTTAACATTTTTCCGAGCATATGAGACTCATGACGATCAAGAATTAGGACATTTATGTGTTCCTACAGCATAGTTTTCATTTATATTTAAGCTAATAAATGCAATATTTGATGCAGGCTATCCTAATATCAGAGGGAATTATAACATATTAGATATCCTATTTCCATTAATGATACAAGCTGTAGACATGCAATATCCCGGTTGGTTTCAACATGATACTTGCAGCTCCCACCGAAAGGATCTTGCATATTATATGATGAAAGTAAAAATACATAAAGATTTAATTTGGTTAGGAGAGCGATTAAGAATTTTAAAAAATCGCTCTCAGCATAAACCTCCACAAAAGCTGACGAATATACAAAGGATGTAAAATATATCTTTACATTTACTCGCGGCATTTTATGCGGATCGAGTAAAAAGATCGCGGCTCCTAGAGCGGTACGATCTAAAATATTTTACATTAACTCGCGGCATTTTATGCACATCGAGTAAAAAGATCGCGGCTCCTAGAGCGGTACGATCTAAAATATTTTACATTAACTCGCGGTATTTGATGCGGATCGAGTAAAAAGATCGCGGCTCCTAGAGCGGTACGATCAAAAATATTTTACATTAACTCGCGGCATTTTATGCGGATCGAATAAAAAGATCGCGGCTCCTAGAGCGGTACGATCTAAAATGTTTTACATTAACTCGCGGCATTTGATGCGGATCGAGTAAAAAGATCGCGGCTCCTAGAGCGGTACGATCAAAAATATTTTACATTAACTCGCGGCATTTTATGCGGATAAAGTAAAAAGATCGCGGCTCCTAGAGCGGTACGATCAAAAATGATTTACATTAACTCGCGGCATTTTATGCGGATCGAGTAAAAAGATCGCGGCTCCTAGAGCGGTACGATCAAAAATATTTTACATTAACTCGCTGCATTTTATGCGGATCGAGTAAAAGGCACATATATTTAACACGGAACATATAAATCGTGATTTATCTAGTAAAGCGATTGATGAAAAGTAGGATAGTGCAGTTTGCGGCCTTATGACGGACCGAACTGCAAACGGAAACAGTTAACTTAGAATTCTTTACAATTATAGTACATTTTATTCATTTTATACTTTATCCAAGTTTATTGCATGATGTCTATGATCTATTTATTTCGACCACTACTTCCCGCTAAAGCTATCTATAGGAAAACGGCGGAAGCAAAGTTGTATACCTAATATTATAATTTGTTACATTTCTCATGTCATTTCAGATGCATATATATAATTATACTATATATAATTATATTACGTTACATTTCAGATATAAATGATTATTACATATATAAAAAAAATATGTATATGTGTGTGTAATTATACATATATCTGAAATAACATGGGAAATATAACAAATTTAAGAGCTAAACTTCTTTTTCCAAAAATTACTGCAAAATGTAATTATTCGAAAAGAAATATCGTCACTTCGAAATATATACATGTACGATCTATTGAAAGAATTATATGTATATATATAGAAATGCAATTATTCAAAAAAATATCATTTCAGAGTCCATATATACGAAATATTTTGTATATATGAATTCTGAAATTATATTTTTTTCGAATAATTACATTTCTCGTGTTACCATATATTATTTTACCATCTCTTAGATTTTAGATACTGTTTCTCACTCTGGCCGCAATATTACTGAGAGGACGCTAGTGCGCAGCGATCTTTTTCCAGTCACACTAACTCCCGTAAGACCATTGTCTTTAATAGTATCTCGTCGGTGGTAGGGCTGTGTTCCGATTCCCTACCCGGGTGCACCCGATATTATAGTATACGTGACATATACTATAATATCGGGTGCACCCGGGTGGGGAATCGGAACACAGCATAGAATGTATACGGTCTAAATGCTTAAGGATAATTTAAGGCCCTTGCACAATGCCAGGCAACAGGCAATAGGAACAGGAAATAAGAACAAGGGAAATAGGAACAAGGAATTCCAACATACCAGAAACCTTGTACCAATACAGAATGGACCGTGACACAAGAAATAAACACAGAATTTCCATCACATTGGAAATTCTATGCCTATTGCTTGTTGCCAACCAATCACAGCGTTCGAATTTTTGAGGTTGTATTTACGAACTTTTAGCGCGTGTATACACATGCCATATACGTTTTACAAGCTTTATTTATTACAAACAGCAAATATGTTCGATCATTGTGATTATTCGAATCGTTTCAAGAATACAGAAGAGGAAGAGTGTGATGATGGTCTGGACGTATGATATTTAATCATCAAAACTCATTTAACAAATATATAAAATTTGGTGATGAATTATTAATAGATATGGTTCGTTCTCGTCCATATCTTTATGATAAAAGTGTAGAGAATTATAAGGATACGACAATGAAGGAGAATACATGGACAGAAATTGCCACTGCTCTAAACATTACACGTAAGTAAACTTGAAACGTTAACTTGAGACAGTCTAAGAGACAAACCTTCTTTTCAGTCTCCATTCTCCATTCTCCAGTCTCAAGTCTTTAATTATTGCATTCTACAAAGTTTTATATGTATTACATGATTATAGTTGTTTGTGTATGATATAGTTGCAGAGTGCAAGAATCGATGGTTACGTCTCCGGCAACGCTTTAGTAAGGAAAGGCAACTGCGAGAGCAAGAGACAAGAAGTGGAGCCGGAAAGCCTACCAGACAAAAATGGATGTTATATGAGAGCCTTACTTTCTTGGGAAGGCATATAACTCAAAGAAAGTTTGTTTCATTTATTTCTTCAAATGATCGTAGTTCTGTTGATAAATTCAAACAATTCAATATACTCAACAACGATTTATCATTTCAGAAGCTTTTCTAATATCAATTTTACAAAGCTATCCGAGCCAAGCAATGTCAGTGGAACATCGTTGAAAACCCAACATTCAATAATTCTTCAGGATGACTATGAAATGTCCACCAATGACAATTCCAATGTGCGACTTCTTTTTTCTTACCAATATTATCTTATTTGAGAAATATGTTATAAAAACTCATTTTATTCACGTTGCAGCACAAGACATCAACTTCAACATCTGGCCAGCAGTCACTGCATACATCGACGTCGAAAGAAATATGCAACACATTGCCAAACATGTCGATTCATAAAAATCAGCCTACTGTTTATTTGGAACAAGATCATGATGTGAGTATAATTTTGAATCAACATGAGAAATGTACAAAATAATATTTATATACATTTAACCGATGTTTTTAATTTTTGAGTCACAGTCACCCTCGCCGTTGCTACGCCGTACGTCACTTGCAACAACTGAAGAAATTTCATTGGTAAGTAATTTTAAATTGTATTATCAATTGATTCTAAAAAAAAAACTTACGAATTTCAAAATTTTTTTGTAGCCATCGACATCTTTCTTGTCCCAAACATCTGCTTCGGAGACAGAGGGATCAGTTAAAGTCAGTCCACCAACTTCTTGCTTTTCGGGGAACCAACAATGAACTTTTAAAAAGCGCAGATTTGATCCAGTGGAAACAGCATTCCATCAGATGAACAGCACATTAAATACAATGGTAGCTGAAGTGTGTTCCCGGAGGAAACCGGTAAACGAAAACGATCCAGATGTTCTCATTGGAAAACTCGTCACAGCGGAGCTTCAAATGACAGCAGAACCACACAAAAGCGAGTTAAAACGAAAATTTATGGAGTTGCTATATTTTTCTAAATCCAAATGAATGTAATTTTAAGTTATAATTTCTATTCACGCATTCTCCTTAATTTTCATATAGTTTTTATTTATTTTACTTATGACGTTAATTTTGTTATTTCATATTATATATTATTACATATATATTTTATTTATTATTATATTTAATTTTAATTTTAATTTTGTTTTATTTAGTATCAGAATGGATAATTAATTTTAATTACATTGTAGTTTATTATAAATAAAAGTTTATTTGGTTTCTAATAAAAGAACAATTTTATTTTTTACATATAAAAATAATAAATGTATTTACAATATTTTTCATATTCTTGTATCTTACTGGAGAATATAATATAATTAGTCGTCACATATAGAAATGTACGGAAAACGATACAATTGTAAATTTTAAGGTACATCGTAATGTTGTCCTCGACGTATATATTCATATTGCCAAGGAACTTCCCCAGCTACTGTCATGAAGTATGACGAGAGAGTATCACGCATTGCATATGCTTCTCTAGTAGCTCGATGTGCTCCTGCATTTCCTATAGGTCTTATATGGTTATCTTGTGATTGTTGTATCCACTCTCCTTCTATTAAGTCTCCTTCCATTTCTCTGTCTGCAAATTGGGGAGAACAATATCTTTGCTGCAGCGGGATTTTTTCGACATTTTTAGTTTTTAAAAAATTATGCAAGCACATTGTTGCCAGCACCAATCGGTTAGCAACATCTGGATTAGCATATATTGTTCTTCGAAATATCCTCCACCTGGCTGCAAAGATTCCAAATGTATTTTCAATTGTCCTTCTGGCCCGGGATAGTCGATAATTAAAAATCCTTTTTTGCTTATTTAAAGATCTTCCTGGATAAGGTCGCATCATGTATGTAGACATTTGAAATGCTTTATCTCCAACAAAATAATAAGATACTTCCTTGTCACTTCCTGGTAGACGAGCAGTGCCTCCAGGTATATTGAGCGTACCTCCGTATAGAGATTGTCCGAAATTTGATCTGGAGAGGATTCCACCATCACTTTCACTGCCATACGCACCAACGTCGAACAGCGTAAACTTATATTGAGCATCACAAGCAGCCATCAGCACAAGACTGAAAGTCTTCTTATAATTAAAATATATTGAGCCAGAGTTTGGAGGTGCCTGGATCATTATGTGCTTGCCATCGATTGCTCCAACACAATTTGGCAAATTCCATAATTGTAAAATATTACTACTGATTCTTGTCCATTTTTCTTCTGTGGGATGTTTCATATAAATTGGCATCAGAACATCTGCTATAGCAGAGCATGTTTCCTTAACAATCATATGAGCGGTAGACTCTCCTACTCTGTATGCTAAAGCCACAGATAACATCTGATCTCCTGTTGCTAAATATCTGCAACAAAGGTAATTGAAGAATTTTCGAAAACTCCGTTCATGAAATATATATGTATTATTTTAAAACATATATATCTTTACCTCAGAGTTATTGCAAGATGTTGTTCTGGACATATTGGGGTTCTGATACTTCTTTTCTGCAAGAACGGACCTACTAATCGCAATAATTCATAAAATGTGGGCTCATCCATTCTTGTATATCGAAAAAACATATCTTCATCTTCTTTCAACTCTGCAAACAAAGTTGCGAAGTCACCATACTGTGCACGTCGAGTATTGATGGGACGGACCCACCATCGCCTGTTCCTCCAGCGCTTGGATTTTTCCGCCTTCCATGCAGTATACAATGCTAAACTAGCTACTTGCATTGCACAGAGAAATAACATTACGCTTTCGTCATCCATAACAAATAACCTAAAAAGAATGTTAATGGAAATATGATATTATATACTAATAAAACCATATACAGTACAGAATTATATTTATATATACATACTAATATTTAATTCGCAGCAAGAATTCACAATACAGAAGAATTTGGAAATATGTCACTTTTGGGTTATGTTTACGTGGATCAGCTATGAACATGAACACAAGAAGCAGCCGACAAAATTTGAAACTTCTGATTGGTTGTTTCTTGTTGTTATCGCGTCATTGTCCACCGGAGACGATAATTTCTTATTCCTTATTTCTGTTCCCTGTTCCTATTGCCTGTTGCCTATCATTGTGCAAGGGCCTTTACATTTAGAGTTTGATGCATGACCAACATAAAGATATAAAATAATTACATCTCAACAACGTCCAAAGGGCATCCAGTACATACATGTAGGATATCCTGAGAATATCCCATTTTAATCCTCGGATCTCCTCTGGATGTCCTGAGGAAGAGTAAATGATAGTCGAATACTAGCCTCTAGAGAATCCAGGAACATCCTGTGGAACATCCTAAGGATTTTTATCGGATATATTAGAATATTATCGGATATATTTTTCGTACGTTTCAGGGAGCAAATTCTGAAAATTGCGTCCTGTTATTTATTGCCAGTACTGAAAATATAATACAGAAAATAGTTCACGTTCTTTGATATTTGAGACTTTTGTAGTTTACATGAATATTAAGTTTGACTTTCAGGTTTGAATCGTGTAATATTTTTTAAACAATCCAATATCTGAATTCCCTATGTCGACATTGCATCAGAAATTGAACTGATAGAAAATAATTATATTTTTAATTTCCTGCCAGTTGCTCTTTACAAGCTTTATATAATTCTCATGATCAAATCTCAAATACGAGATCGCGCGTCGCATAGCGGTAAACAAACGAACTAGCGGCTGAATACTACTTTGTGTAATGTTTTTGAAATGTTGCGCACAATAACATTTCTCATGAAATATTTGTTACGTCCGATGGACTCCACGATTCTTTTCTTTCACGTAATATTAAACGCCTACGCTCTGGAACTCTTTGCACTATAAACAATAAACTAAAGGAATATCTAGCAGGCGAGACTAATATTTCAAAGCCTAAACCATGCGTGATAAATATTCGAACAAAGGTCCCCTAGAAGACCAAGAATTTTAAACAACAATTAAAAGATACTCGAACCGTGAGAAGGCTCGAAATCTAAACAGTGCGCATGCAAGAGACTATTAAATATATCAAATAATATTTTTTTCTTGGAAGTCTTAGTGAAAAAGCGTTACGGGAAAAGTCTCGAATAAAGGCCCTTCTAAGAACTAGAGTGTTATCTTATTTATGTAACTATGATCCGCGACTGAAACTCGCGACATTCGACACCACGTGCTCGCCTGCTAGACCACCCTTGCGCGTTATCTGTTTAAGATAAAACTCAAGTGAACAATAAAACTGTCAACTTGGCCAATCATGGCGGACTCTCCAGTGGGCGAGACTTAATTTTTAAAAACAAAAGCCTACACCAATAGACGCTAACTCTTGGACCTTCTTTTGGAAGGGAGACGCCCTCAACTCATGAGAGGGGCACCATTTTAAAGACTGATTCGTTAAAAAAAAATATTGCTTGCCTAATGGAGAGGGTAGGCGAAGAGACGCCAAGATTCGACTTACGCGAAATCCTCCCTCAAAAAATTCAATTCATCTTCGCCTCTCGACTCGAACCGTCGCACCGAGTCTGTCTACAGTCCGCGCTGATTTATTAAGTCTCCAAAAGTTTATCTATTCTCACAAGTTCTCTCTGCGATTGTGCTAGTGCAAGGAGTTTTACGTTGTACAAGTTGGAATTTTACAAAATTCGTGCGGGCAAGTGACAAGTGGTGTGCCCTTGAGGGATCGAACAAACACCGCCGGAACCGAGCGATCTCCGAGCCACTCCTTCCGCACAGCCGAGTCCAGAGATAGATCTTAGCTCGCTTATCCAGCGAAATTTTTAA